ACAATAGGCATAAGGTTCAGCCCAGATGCTTCCTTCTTTCAAAAAATGCCAAGTACACAATGGTGATATTGGAGATGAGCAGATGAGGTTGGTCCATGACTACAAATTCAAGTGCTCTCCTCTACTAATAGCAGGTGGCATCAGGACCATTCTAAAGTAATATCAACTTTGGCCTGATAGCCACAAAGTAGGGCTGGTATGCATGTGGTGGCTCTCCTTTGGCCATATGTTAACAGAGGCTAAGCCTCAACCACTAGCATTGTATAGATCCACCAATGGAGTGGGCTGAAGAATTTAACAAAATTAATATTATTATTCAGCCATCTCTATCCTCCAATACACTTCTGCATTTCTCTCTCTGTTGCTTATTCTTTTCAAAAATTCATAGATCTAACACAGGCCATAGAACTTCCCCTAAATAATTCCTAGAGCAGATCTGTTAGAAAAACATCCAATCTTGATTTTATAATTGTCAGTGATGAAGAATTCACCACACCCCTTCATAAGTTGTTCCAGTTGTTAATTACTCTAGCTGTTAAAAGTTTATAGCTTATTTCCAGTCTGAATTTGTTTAATTTCAACTTCCAGCCATTGGATTATATTATATCTTTCTCTGCTAGATTGAAAAGCCCATTATTAAATATTTGCTCCCCATGCATGTATTTACAGACTGTGGTCAAGTCACCCCTTAATATTCTCTTTGTTAAGCTAAATAGACTCAAGAAACTCACTCTATCAGTATATAGCATGTTTTCTAAGTCTTGAACCATTCTCATGGCTCTTCTCTGAACCCTCTCCAATTTATCAACATCCTTCTAGAATTGGAAACAGTATTCCAGCAGTGCCAAATACAGAGGTAAAATAACCTCTCTACTCCGACTTGAGATTCCCTTATTTATACATCCAAGTTGCCCCTGTTTATGCATTCCATTAGCCCTTTGGACCACACCATCACACTGGGAGATCATGTTCATCTGATTATTCATCATTACCCCCAAATCTCTTTCAGAGTCACTGCATCCCAGGATAAAGTCCCCCATCATGGCCTACATGGAATGCCCACCTTGCCCAAAGCCATCTGATTTCTAAGGACTTATAAAAGATCATTAACTCCACTTTAATACCAATTAAAGAGCCATGGAATGCAATGATCAGAGACTGGGGAATAGGTTTTAGTTGTCATTGTTGCTTTTCAAAGATCCTAGCTTTACTTAGTACAACCAGTCTTTGGGAGATTGGCCATGCTGTGGATTTTGGAATCTAAGCTGGATCTAAATGCAATACTATTATTGCAATACTAGATTTGTGATTTGGGATATAGCCAGCACAGGACTATGGATCCCAAGGTGTATCTGTATTTAAAATAAAAAGTAACTTCAGACTTAAAAAATATCCTCCAGAAATCTCCACCTGTAAACTTTTCATTGGGAGTCATCAAGCCAAATCCATCTTTTCTCCTTCTCCGTTTAACCCAATCCAGAAATATTTAGCCTTTTCTTATCTGGTGTCTGTACATTCCTGTTGACTAACCAGAAATACATTACTCATTGATAGAGCATTTCAGCTCTGCTTCATTCTTTATCATATCATTTGCTCAGTTTTAACTCAGACCATTAATATGCATGAAGTCAAGAACACTGTCTCAGTCCTAGCAATAACGAATTTGGTTAAAACAACATTAGAAACACACGGCAATCCTTATAACATCTTTCATACTGTCCCCAGGAAACCTGACTCATACAAACGGGCATTTCCAAAAGTCCAAGGTTTAGATAAAAAACCTGTTCTCCAGGGCTTTGGGTTCTCAGGTCTTCACAGAATTCTGAGGCAGCTTTTAGACTGCTATATCAGACCACTTACACCTTCTGAAAGGAATCTGCCTTCTATAGTCTCAAGGGGACAAATGATTGATGCTCTGTTGCAACAAACTCCCTTCCAGCAGCAGAAGCAAGTCTCTTCATCCAGAATGACTGAGGTGGATAAAAGGCTCCTGACTCCTCCACCAATCTTCTGCACCTATCAGAGCTGAGTGTGCTTTCCAGATATTCCATTTGCACCAGATCACAGCCAGAGGGACGAAAGGCCAGGCTGAGTTGGCATCCTCCCAAGTGGGGCTCCTGTTGCCAGGAGCTAAGGGCCCATTTACATCCTGTTTCTCAGAGTGAACCTGCTTGCTCAGAGGTTCATATCAAATCTGGAACATATGTGTGTTTTTGTTTGTGGTTAAGGAGGTGAGCGCTCTCCAAAACCCTTCATAGGATTATGAGAGGATTTGTGGCAGCCCCAGTGGATCTCAGCCCACTTTCCCTCTTCTCTTCCGCCTTTAAAAAGACAAGCCCAAACCCAAGGAAGTTAAATGCGAAATATCTTATCTTAATGTAAAATTGAGGCTGAGAATTTAAACTCAGTCAGGAAATTCAGAGTTAAATTATCTAATAATAAATCACTCAGAGCACACACACATACACTGCAGTTCTGATTACCAATTAGGTTATCTTCATATGTGCTTATAGGATATGGGAATGAGTTAATGCTCCCAGGAGAACATTACTATTTGAATTTCCTCATTTATGAGTTTAAATTCTCAACCTTAATGTTGCATTGATGCCATTTTTTTGCATTTAATTGCCTGTTTACAAGGTTCAAACAGCTACATAATTGAAAGAATGAAGCTTAATGCTGCCCTCTAGATAGTGGCATTCATGTTGCTGAGGTAAGGTGATTACAGTACCCAGCAGAATCAGTGCAGTCACCACCAGAGCAACTTAGAACCAGCATGAATGCTGAAAGCCAGGGCCTGCAAATGAGAAAAAAGAATTGCTTTGGGGGGAAATGCAAAGATGGATATGCAGGGCTAGGTTCACCTGTACACTTTGCTCTGCTCCCATTTCACCTTCTGGTTTTGTATGATACATGGTAAGTTTATTTTGATTTTAGTAATACAGGAGAAAGATTGTGAACGTTTATGGTAAGGTCCATGTCATAGGGGATTCAGAGAGCTGGGCGATCTAGAGATTAATGCACCCAACTTCCAGCCTCTTGTCCCTCTGTCAGGGTGGTAGCAATAACTGTTCCTGATCCTAAGCTCAGAGATTTGGCTTTCCACCTGCATCTGGGCCTCAGCCCTTAAGGGGTTGTGATAAGGGGAGCTGGGCTCTCACTCTTCACCAGGTGCCAGCCCAGGGCCCTGTGGGAAACAACACCAGCAGGGTCCTCACTGCTGTAAGTCCACAATCGCTTCCCTGAGTACTTCCTACCAAGAGGTCCCTTAAGCTTCAGGCGTGGGCCCTATAGTCCAAATAGTCAATCTCTCAACAACAATGTAGTGAGGGGGTGTGGCCTCCCTCTGAGATTGACAAGGAGGACCCCCTGCCCACCCCCTGGTGGGTGGAGCCAGAACACCAGCTCCCACCCTGCCAGAAGCAGAGGGACAGGACAGGAAGTATAAAAGGTGGGCCCTGCAGCTCAGTTGGGCTGGAGTTGCCAAAGGAGACAAATGTCTCCTGTCCACTGCTGGGATTTGAGCCTGAAGAGGATCCCTGCTTCGCTGAGGACTTACCAGAGCTACCTGGGCTGCTGGCCGACCAGGGCACCGAGGAGCTGCTGGAACTGCCGCGAGCAGTGTACCCTAGGGAGACAGAGGATGACCCCAAGCCACAGATACACTGTGAGGGGACTGTAGGATGTAGCCCAGGGACACCAGACAGTAGTTTGGTTGTGTTGTTGTCTAAAGTTAGTATGTTTGGGATCTGATCAGGGTGGCCCACTTCCACTTTAGGGCCTTGGGCTGGGACCCAGTGGAGTAGGGTGGGCCTGGTTCCCCCCCTCCCCCCCCCCCCCCCCCCCCCCCTGAGGGGGCCCCCCCCCCCCCTTCCAAGGGGGCCTTTTTTTTCTCCCCTCTTTCAGAATTAAGATTTAAAAATCTTTTTTTTTTTCTCTCCTCTCTTTTTTTTTTTTTTTTTTTTTTTGTTTTTGGTTTTTTTCTTTTCATAGACTCTTTATTTCTCTGCCCTACCTGCAGCCTGGGCCCTGGACTACCTGGTGCCTTGCCTTGCCTAGAGCATCAGGGCCATAGAGACTGCTAATCTCTAAATAATCCTTGCCTTATTAAGGACTTGAGAGTGAGGGGGCATGGCCTCCCTCTGAGATTGACAGGGAGGGACAGCCAGGCACTTCTACAAACAACAACAACAAAAAAGTCCAAAGGATCAGGGCCCTGCAGGACCTGCTGGTTCTCAAAGCGGGTGCAGGTTGGAGAAGGCATTGCCTGTGGGTCTGAACCATTCTGTGTCCCCTCTCAGGTTCAACCTTTCATCTAGGTTCCTGGAGAAGAATTCCTGTCTCCTGCAGCCTGTCCACCACCCTTTGCCTGGCTTCTGAGCAACTTTTAACCCATTCCTCCAGCCACAGCATGCTCATCAGGTCTGGAGGGTGAGGCTACCTGGGCTCAATATAGTCTTTTAACTCCTTTGGGCCCAGTGTGGGGTTTGTATACCCCATCACACACCCTCCCCCTCAGCCCCTGAGTTGTGGTGTCACTGGACTGATCCTGAGCTCCCCTCTCATGAAAAGAAATCAGCATTTTTATTTTCCCGGCCTGCATGGTGGGATACCTGAAAGGTGTATGACTCCAATGAGAGGTATGTGTGGGTTGTGGTCTTTCATAGAGCTCAGCCATCGGAGTAGTTCATGGTCTGTTACGAGGTGGAAAGGTTGCCCTCATAAGTAATATTGCAGGACATTAACATCCCATTATACTGACAAGGCCTCTTTTTTGATGACTGAGTATGCTACCTGCTGGGGGGAACAACCTTCTCCTGAGAAAGAGGACGGGACACCCTTCTCTGAATTCTTGAGACAGCACTGTCCCGAGCCCAACATCTGATGTGTTGGTTTGTACAATAAATGATTTCATGACGTCCAGGTGGAACAGTACCGGCTCCTGGCTCAAACAGTTTTTTAATGCTTTTAATGCCTCATCACAGCTTTTTGTCCCACAGATTTTTGGGGCACCAAATCCTTTACCAGGTCCATCAAAGGAATGGCAATGGTGGTGAAGATGGGGATGAATTGCTAATCGTGCGACCGACACCAGTCCAAAGAATCAGCGAACATGCTTCTTGGTGGAGGGGATGGGGCAATGTCCTCGGTCTTGGACTTTGTCCACCAGGGATCATAAATGTCCCCCTCCTACTGTATACCCCAGGTAAGTGACTTCCTGGGTGGCCAGGCAGCACTTGGTTGGCTTGACCATCAAACCTGCCTCCTTAAGAGCTTGTAGTATTGCAGTAATGTGGTTTATACGGTCAGCCCACCCTTCACAGTATAGAACAATATCATCAATATAGTTGCAAGCACCTTATCCATCAATCACTGAAAAGTGGCAGTGGCCCCGTGGAGCCTGAAGGGCAGGGTCTTAAATGGATGTAACCTGGATGGGGCAGAGAAGATGGTCTTCTCTTTAGACTCTGATGTCAAGGGCATCTGCCAATAGCCTTTCATTAAGTCAAAAGTAGACATATACCTGGCCGCCACTCAATCTTTCTAGTAGTTCGTTGGCCCTTGGCATGGGGGTTGCATTAAATTTTGAAATTGCATTCAATCTTGGGGGAAATTGATGCAGAACTGTATTGACACATCCTTTTTGGGCTTGGAGCATAATGGGGCTTCTCCACTCTCTGTGAGACTCTTCTATCACCCCTATGTCTAACATGGCCCAGAGCTCCTGGCATACTGTATCCCACAGCTTTGGAAGGGGTTGCAAACACTCATGCACCTTTCATCTGGGTTCAGTGTCGATATGGTGGGACACCAGATGTGTTTGCCTGGGCAATGTTGAGAATACCTCTGGGAATGAGGCAACCAGCTGACAAACTTGTTGCTCTTGGTCAGGCTGTAGATGTCTCCCAAATGGCACAGGGATTGGATTCTGAGGGCATAGGAACCCGCAGGTTCAGTTTGGGGTCAGGGAATGGGGTGATGAGCAGACCCTTCTGTCCCTTCCATACCTTCAAGAGGTTGACAAGATACAGCTGGTTCTGCTTATTCCTCCCAGGTTGTTGGATCTCATAGTCAATCTTTCCCACTCATTTCAACACCTAGAAGGGGCCCTGTCATTGGGGCAATACCTTTGATTCCAACATTGGCACCAGGAGCAACACTAGGTCTCCCAGCTGGAACTCACATACATGGGTCCTCTTGTTATAGGTCTACTCTTAGTGGTGCTGCACCCTTTGTAGCTTTTTCCTTGCAAACCCACCCAGAGTCTTCAACTTCTGGCAGAACTCAATAACATACCGCATCACAGTCTGATTGTCCTGAAGTCCTGCTTTTCCCATGTATCATGGAGGAGGCCCAGAAATCCCTATGGCTGCCTCCCATACAATAATTCTAATGGGGAGAAGCCTGTGGATGCTTGAGGCACCTCATGGATGGCGAACGGGAGAGGTGGGAGCAGGGGGCCCTAGTATCAGGGATGAGTGGTGACAAATGTAATGTTCTTCAACGTCTTGTTGAATTGTTCCACCAATCTGTCGGTTTGAGGGTGGCATACCAATGTTTTAAATGACTTGACCAAGTCCCATAGCTCCTTCATTAATTTGGTGGTGAAATTGGTTTCCCTGATCCAGCAGCATCTCCTTAGGGATCCCCACCTGACGAAAATACCTTCAGGAGCTCACCAGTGACATCAACCACTGTAGCTAAGTGGAGAGGGATGGCTTTGGGGCATTGGGTGGCACAATCCAGGATCACCAGGATGTATTTGTACCCAACTACAGACTTTTTCTAACCACTGGGTCCACAACTATCCTTTCAAAGAGCACCCCATGATGGACAGTGGTACCAAGACAGCTTTTGGGAACTTTTTCTGACCTCTCCACTGGCATAGAATCATAGAATCATAGAATATCAGGGTTGGAAGGGACCCCTAAGGTTCCTTTTCCCCCCCCCTCTCCCCAACACCCCCCCCCCCTTATATCCCCCCCCCCCCCGGGTTTTTCTTACCCTCAACATAAAAACCCTAAAGAAAGGAGATCCTCCCCCCCCCCTTCTACCTTTTTTTCTTTTTCCCCCCCTTTAAAAGTAATTATTTTTTCTCAATTTCAACCTCCCCCCCCCCCCCTTCAACTTTTTCCCCTTTCTTTTTCTTTTTTCATTTTAAACAAATTAGAGAACTCTTCTTTCTTCTTCCTTTTTTCCCCCTTTTAGGGGATTTAAAAAATCCTTCTCCTTCTCCCTTTTTTTTTTTTTTTTTGTAAAAAAACTCCCCTCCTCCCTCCTCTTCTTCTTTTTTTTTTTTTTTTTTTCTTTTTTTTTTTTTTTTTTTTTTTTTTTTTTTTTTTTCTTTTTTTTTTTTTTGTGGGTGGGGGGGGGGGGGGGGGGGGGGGGGGGGGGGGCACTCAGATGAGGCACTCGGGGCATGATGCACAAAAGTCCCACACCTGTGAGTGGACGCACAGCCAGTAGAACCACATAGTCACTCTGTCAAGTGTCTTCTCTCCCCAAGTGGCCCCTGCACAATATTGCATGGGGCAGTTGGAGCAACCCCCTTCAGAACTTCATGGGGACTAGCAGCTGCATCCCCACTTCCCCCATCTTGGAGACTTCATGACCTGATTTTCCCTTTCTTCAAACAGCTCAGAATGGGACCACTGTTTCAAGAGCCCAGGGTCTAGAACTGTGTCACCCTCATGATTTGTTCACAAACCTGACCCAAGGTTGGGTCATAGACTTAAGAGAACAAAGCAATCTCACCAGACATCAAGTGAGTGGTGGTGGTGGGCCCTTACTACTCCAGTTTGGCTCCAGTGCATGATCATTTACCTGCAAAGATTGTCCTGCCTCTGGGTCCTTGACTTCCTCTGTGGGACTCCCCTCATGGTGCCCTTCCTTGGCCACCATGGTCATCTCCCATTTTCTGGGGTCTTTAGGTCTTGACCCTATGTCTGCTGGGGGTGTGCCACCCCACTGCTGGACAGTCTCTTCAAAAAACCTCCAGTCAAGCCCCAGGATGACTGGGTAGGCCAGGTCTTTGGCCATCTGGCATGCACTCCCATCTTGTTGTGGTTTTGCTCAATGGTCAATCTCACTTCTCTTGTTGGGCAGGGCTGTATGCCTCCTGAGCCCACCAGATCTTCACTGACCAGGGTCTGGCTGCAGCCAGAATCTGAGTCCTTGGATGGTTAGTCATCCACATGTACAGAGCCTAACATTTTCCTTGAGCTGCACTTCTGAGCCTGGCTGTTTGCATCCGGGCCTGCCCATAGTTATAATCCATGAACAGGCTGTCTCCCTGGAAATGGCATTGTTGCCCACAGGCAAAGCAAGCCCATACGGGCTACCTGGACCCAGTATAGTCTTTTATTCCCTTTGGGCTCAGTGTGGGGTTTGTATAACCCATCACAATCCCTCAATAGTTAGTTCAGTGCTTGAGTCCCTGGGTTAACTTCTGAGAAAATGGGCCATATAGTTGGATAAAACAGCCAGCTGGAGGTTTCCCCCATTGTTGAGGGAATCCCCATGTAGCATATCATGGGCAAGTAGGATGTGGCAGGGGGTCTGGCTGGAGGGCAGTGTGCTCTGACAATCCCCAGCTGCTAGACACCCATTTGGAGGCCATTACAGCAGGGATGTAGTTTAGAGCAGCCCTTAAACTGTTCCAAACTACACTGGGGGCTGAACTGGTCCCTTGTTAACCTCTGATGCCTGCAACTGGCTCCCTTGCAGCTCTCTTGTCTCTTCTGCACATGGAAGATACTGAGTACAGTAAAGTTCTGAGCCCTTTGTGTGATTGACTGAATTGCCCAGAATTTAACAGCTAAATACATTTGCCTACTCAGTCACTGAATTACCAGTATGCACAGCAATGAACTATAACGTAATTTATAACACAAATGGTGTAAGAGATGCTCTAAAAAAATAAATTCCAGTCTAATGAATTATATTCATTTACTTCTTGTTGTTCTCATTACAATTTGTTTCTTATTTAAAAGCATCCCCCGCTTTTGTAGATACAAGTTAATTTCAGAACACAACATATTTTAGAAAAAACTTGAGAATGCAAATTTAAGACTACTTCAGAAATTGCTGTCTGAAGAGCAGAGCCTTGTCTACACAAACACACAGTGGGTGTCAAGCTGGAGTATAAATTGACCTCACACTAGCCTGCCACACAGTAAATGTCCATTCAGATCCTGCTGCCATGCACTAAAAATTCCCTAGTGTGCTTTGATTAACCGTGCTTGAAATGGGAGTAGATTAACATGCACTAGGTGCTGTTAAGTGCTGAAGGCTGGAATGTTGTTGCTGTGGTAACACTGTCCAGGGGCTGCTTTGAGCTGTTATAGCTGCTTAGTGTTTCTATTCCTGGAATGCCAAGGTTATTAACAGAAGCATAGAAGGCTGCTTGCTAATTCAATAGGCCTCAATATTAATAAAAAAGGAACACCAGCATAGGCTGGTGAAAAAGGCACTCGGACAGATTTATTGCCCTTAAGGCACAGTCCTAGTGTCCCATAGGATCTCCAGATACACTAACACATGAGTGCCAAGTGGCAAAAAATGGCTCAGTCAGCAGCAGGAAATTCTGCTGTCCCCTAGGCCATGCAAAGGGTTAAGGCAAGGTACCCTGACATTTATAGACTGAGACAAACAATTTACATACCACCTCATGTGATTTATGATCTCTTCTTGTTACCTCCCTTTGTATCATACTCCAGGTGTCTTAGGCAAAACATCCTCTTATCTGGTGTTGTCATAAATATAAAGGGAAAGGTAAACACCTATAAAATCCCTCCTGGCCAGAGGAAAAATCTTTTCACCTGTAAAGGGTTAAGAAGCTGGGATAGCCTTGCTGGCACCTGACCAAAATGACCAATGAGGAGACAAAAGCTGGAGGGAGGGAGAGACAAAGAGTCTGTCTGTGTGATGCTTTTGCTAGGGACAGAACAGGAATGGAGTCTTAGAACTTAGTAAGTAACAAGGTTCCTTCCCCACTCTGAACTCTAGGGTACAGATGTGGGGACCTGCATGAAAACCCCCCAAGCTTACTTTTACCAGCTTAGGTTAAAACTTCCCCAAGGTACAAACTGTTTTACCCTTTGCCCTTGGACTTCCACTGCCACCACCAAACGTTTATCTGGATTACTGGGAAAGCGTTGTTTGGAAATGTCTTTCCCCCCAAAATCCTCACCAAAACCTTGCACC